AACACACATACACTCGAGTCAGCCTTTGTTTATCGTGTTTATATTGTTTTACATGTTAAGGTTGAGAAAAACAATAACATCCACATGCTCGGGTGAAAGTTGGCTCCTCAGTCTGATAACAATAAGAACGCGCGCCGACACAGACGTTCCAGAGACACAGATAACGGTGTGCTGAGCAGAGTTTCTTACAGCGCTTTGTGTTTTCTGTTCATAAAACACTCTCCCTCCAAACTTAAGATCACTTTGACAACAAAGTAAGTCCAAACTTCGCGAGGCAGACAAGCAGAGGTGAAATGTGGAAAAGAAAAGGGAAATTATTCTATTTTGGTGTAAGTGTCTTGTTTTAATGTTGTGCATTAGTGAAGTGTTTGTGTTGTCTTCAGCTGCTTCTTGCACATTTTGATGGTCTCAGAAGATCAGCTGGAGGTTTGCAGCTAATTATACCATCGAGGAGCAGAGAGGGTGAAGGGTCTGGAAATAAACATTTGTAACATTTTAAAGTTAATAAGTCCATTTGCTTATGGTTGTGGATTATTTTACTGTTTATGTGTCTTGGGATTCAGTCATTCAGTCCATTATGTATCATGGGCTACATAACACATGAAATTAGCCCACCTGTCCATGTATACTTCAGCCTCAATCATTTCAGGGTGTTCATACGTGTTCAAGGTTATCAGCAGGATCTCCGGGAACACGTGACGATCAGGTGACCTGCACACGTGTCACACATGAGCGCCGGCTGCTGCTGGTGTGTTTGAACTCATGATGAAACGTCCATCGTCACGCAGTGATCTCAGTGACATATGATGGAGAGGGCTGCTGACGTGTGTGTGTGTTTAGTAGTGTGCTCTATCTGTAGCATTTGTGAATGTGCATGTCGACCCAAACAGAGATCATGTGACAGAAGGTGTGTGTGTTGCTCTCTGCTGAGACTGTGAGGGAGGTAGTAGTGTATGTGTGTGTGTGTTGCCATCTGTGCAGTTTGTTCCTCTGATGCGACATGCAGCTACACACACTCACACACACACACACTCACTCACACAC